AGAAACTGAAGCCCTAGACAGATTTTGTATTAACACACTTTCTGTATCTGTATTCTGTATCTCCACAGTACCAGTCTCACCAGGCTTGGGGCTGTGCTGGTAAACTATCGACTGAGCATCTACTGAGTGTAGGCATTACACCAGGTGCTTTGCATTATCCCTATCACAACTCCAAAGAGAAGGGGCATAATTGTCCTCAATTTTCAGGTGAAAAACAGGGTTTGAGAGGTAAGCTGCCCGAAGTCACTCTTACAGATTGAAAACCAGCCCTAAAAATGGAAAGTCGTTGCTGTTGGCAAGCTCAGACTATATAAAAGCTTCTCAAGATGTCCAAACGATAAGGTCAGAGTCAGGGTCATGGCCAGTTAGGTGTGAAATCTAAACTGTAAAATCCCTTGGAGGGATTTACTAGTAGTAAAAGCTAACATTTTTTGAGCATGTCCCTTACATCAGGCACTGTGCTTCACAGTAATACTGACACAGATAGTATAATGATCCCCATATTGCAGACAAGTTCACTGACACTTAAAGAATTTAGGTAACTTCTTGAAATCACCCAGCTAGGATATAGCAGAAGCTGGAATCAAGCCCATTTTTTTTAACCCAGGGGCACTTTACCACTGAACCACATCCTCAGTACTTTTTATTTTCTTTTGAGACAGGATCTCTTTAAGTTGCTGAGGCTGGCTTTGAACTTGTGATCCTCCTGCCTAAATCACTGGGATTAGAGGCATGCACCACTGTGCCAGACTAAGTCCAAGTTGTTTGAGGGTCTAAGTCTAAGACCTTACAAATATAGGATTTAAAAACACCTGAACCAAGAGAGACACTGGCAGAAATATGTGGCTCCTATGAGATGGCCTCTAGGATCCCCAATAAATGTCCCAGATCTTCTGGCTACCTACTCCTTCCAGTCAGCCTACCCACGGGGAGCCACAGACAGCCTTGAATAGCTCTAACTACAAGAGCAAATTGAATCTGGGTTGCAGGCTGGAACATATTAATAACCATATTAAACACCCCCAGTGAATGAATGAGCTCAGTGATTTGAGGCCCACAGAAACCCACACCTACTGCCTTCCCCCAATTAAACACCAGAAACCCCCCTCCCTTGACTGTGATAACAAGGCATGTCATCCACCTGTGACAGTGCTTAAGGATTTTCAGGAATTTTTTTGAAAAGGGAGAACAAGTTGAAAGAGAACACAAGAAACATATTTAGAAATTGATCAAGAGAACCAAATAGGCACTAGACAAACAGACCTATGAATACGTGGGAATTTAGAAAATAAAGTCAGACAATGTATAGCATTAGGAAAATTCAAGAGGAAAAATATTTAAATTACTAGCTCACTTCAAATTTTTAAAACTTCAAATGAATCAAAGATTTTTTTTTTTAAAGCATTTGGAAAAAAAAAAAAAACATGCATAAGCAGGAGGGTCATGAATTTGAGGCCAGCCTTGGAAATTTAGCATGACTCTTATCTCAAAACAGAAAAAGAAAAAAAGAGAAATGTAAATTTCAAATATATTTTCAGCCATCATACTGGCAAAATGAAAATTGATAAAATTCTGTGTTGGCAGACATGTAGGGAAATGGGAATGTGTCTTGTATAGTCTTTTTGGAGGGCAACTGGAACAATATGAGTAAAAACAGGGTTTGCTCATTTTTAATGTGTTCCTTCGAGGCCAGTAATTACCCCTTAGGTAAATGGTTACACACTGAGGAATTAAACCGCCTTTGGAAACGGTCAACCCAGGACCCAAGGTCAAAGTTCCACTGACAAGGTGGGAGATGGAAGATATGAAGTAGGGATGTATCCTTTGTATCAGTTCCAGGCTTACATCCTTCCCTGAGAACTGTTCCGGATATTCTACTCAGTCATTCCCTTGGGCCTCCTTCAGTGCTTCCTCCAAAGCTGTCATCACACTCCCCAAGCTCTGAAAATCTGCTACCCACAAGAAAAACCAACAGTAAAGGATGCAGATTCCCCAAGAATCCACCTGTTCTTGCATCACCCAAGAACAAGCAGAGAAACAGCACAATTTTTCCTTTAAAAAGCACCTCTTTGGATGGATCTCTTTATGGAGATTTACCCTGCAATCTCTCTATCTTTTCCCAAGCCAGCCTTCTTTGACACCACTGAGCCAGAAGCACCCTCAATCTAATGGGTACTAGTGTGCATTTGGTGCTGGCCTGTCCCAAGGACCAGTTGGCCTTTGGAGACTGTATTCAGGAGACCTTGGTTCCGTATTAGAATGGCACTGGTCAAAGTTATCTAGCTTCCAAGACCTCCCACAACCTCACCAGCCACCTTTTCCCAATTCATTCCATCAGTACAATTCACTGAGAGCCTGACAGCCAACCTACTTTCAAGGGAACTCTCAAAGTAACACTCCTTCCCTCCAAGATTGCTCCGGGTTGCTCACTCCTTTCTTCTACTTGTGCAAACTATGGACCCATCCAAAGATCCAAAAGAGCTTTCTTCTCAACACACCAGCCCTCCCTCCTTTTTAACACCCCTCCCTACCATCTTGGGAATCAAGCATCTCAATGCAAATACACTCTGCTGTTTACTGCTCTTGCTGTGGTTTCTGTATCAGAGCTGCAACTGGAACAGGCACACCCAGAGCTTCCCTGCACATTGCCATTCCCCCTCTCCTTAGGTGGAAAACAGCAGGCCACAGATCAGTTTGATTCATGAATGTTCCAGACAAACTATGCTAAGTCAGCAGTGGAAACCAAGTCCCATTCCTCAAGTTCACACATGCTTCCTTTCCCAGGAGAGCTGACTTGATCTTGCAGGTAGTTCAGGGTTGCTCTTGCCTCTGACTTAAATCATAGGGCAAATCAATGAAGCTCTCCTGGTCTTGATCCCCAGCAATAGGGAATACAGGTATACTCTATTTTGCACTCTGTGTATGATCCTGATTAACTAGGTGGTTATTTAACACATGCAAACCAAATCCCAGTGTAATGTTTATTTTTAAAAAGCTTTTGAAATGGTGGATTCTTGCATAGAAACGTTTATTCCTTCTTAATCTTTCTGAAAATTCTGAGATAAAATATAAATGTGCTTCAGTAGATTAGATGCATTACCAGTGTTCAATTTAGTGGTACTGACCAGCATTGCTATTTAATGAATAGAAGAAAATATCAGAATGCATATTATGTAGTATTATTTCATAAACTTATATATGTCTAGGTGCACACATGTGGATGAGAGTATTGAGTTAGGATGTAATGTGGCACATGGTCATAGTTTGAAAGTTCCTGAAACATGATAAGATTATTTAAACATTTTCCTGCATGTTTGGTTTATTTAAGACATGAGTTGCATAGATGCTTTATTTTTCCAATTTAATGTTTTCTAAATTAGTTTTTTTGTTTGTTCATTTGCAGTGTTGGGGATTGAACCCTGGGCTTCACATAGGCTAGGCCAGAAATCTACTCCAGAGCTACATCCCTAATCCTTTCCAAACTTTTTCTTTTTTTTAACTGAGAAACACAGTTTTAAGTTGTGATTTCATACTAAGGCACCACACCTACACATATAACTGAAACAAAGTGAATGAAATAATATTCTTGCTATCTGCATTGCTCTCTGATTATCTATTTTGTTTTTTAAAATGCTGACCCATTAAACTAACTTCATTACCCACTAATGAGCTATGATTCTGTTCAAGTCTAAAATGCACTACTAGGAGAGAGAGGGGATGATTACACTTCTTTTTTTTTTTTTTATTGGTTGTTCAAAACATTACAAAGCTCATGACATATCATCTTTCATACATTTGATTCAAGTGAGTTATGAATTCCCATTTTTACCCAAAATACAAATTGCAGAATCACATTAGTTACACATTCACAATTTTTACATAATGCCATATTAGTGACTGTTGTATTTTGCCTCCTTTCCTATCCCCTACTATCCCCCCTCCCCTCCCCTCTCATCTTCCCTCTCTACCTCATCTGCTGTTGTTTAATTCTCTGCCTTGTTTCCCCCCCCCCCTTTCCCCTCACAACCTCTTATATGTAATTTTAAAATGTAACATTGAGGGTCTTGCTAAGCGAAGCTAGCCAATCCTTAAAAAACAAATGCCAAATGTCTTCTTTGATATAAAGAGAGCAACTAAGAACAGAACAGGGAGGAAGAGCATGAGGAAAAGATTAACATTAAACAGAGACCAGTGGGGGGAGAGAAAGGGAGAGAGAAGGGAAAGCATATGGAAATGGTAGGAGACCCTCGATGATTCCACTTCTTGATCAGGGATGAGAGAGTACAAATAGCATCTGCTCAGAATACAAAGCAGTGAAGCTAAAGTAGGAAGACCAGTTCTGTCATTGGTGCTAAGGCTTGCTCCAGCATTGAAAAGATTTAAATGGCAGAGGACAGGAGACACTCTGCCAGACCCCTCTCCTTGCAGAATAAAATGAGTGTGGAAAGGAGGGCCCTTCAGTGGCTGTCCAAGAGATTAATTGGCATTCCGAACTATTTTACCAAGACAGACATGAAGGCTGAGCACTCAAACAACCCAACAATGCCCACAGTCAAGTGAGCCAACAAACACCCCTCTCTTCCTGCCAAGAATTCTCAGAGCCTTGAAAGTGTTCTCGGCTTCAGCACAGACTCCCACCCCTACCATGCAACTTCCGGACTTCATGGAAGCCCTCCCTGCTTCCTGAAGAGGCTTTCCCTTCTCAATCCTGCTTCATTAGGGTATAAGATTTCTCACTTCCACTGCAAAGTTGTCAAGCCTCCAGTTGCAGCCACTGGTGCTCTGGTAGAGGTGAAGGTGAGACGCTGGTCATCTCCCAGAGCCAAGACCACTGATACCATTTATACAAAAAAGGAGGTGAAAAGTGTGAGGAGCCTACCATCCAACCAAGCACCCGTGCTTCAAGGCAAGGGTCGGGTCCTGAGCCCTTGCCCACCAATTCAATCTGTGATGATCACCCTCTCTCTGCACTCTTCCTGTGGGAAAGTGAGCATCAGCTAGGCTAGGCTGCTGGGCATTCTAACTTGAAATTTGAGCACCAAGCACCATGTCACCAGATCAATTGTCTCCTGTGTGTCCTCTGTGTTCCCTAACTAGCCTACAAGCTTCTCTGCGAGTGTAGGGGATAGGGAAAACAGCTCGATGGGGTAAGGCAGATAGAGACTGGGCGGCTGGGTGGAATGTAGAGGCAGGAAACGCAGCAACTGGAGGGGAAAAAAAGTCCCCAAACTTGACAGGACTTTTTCAAAGAAGGTAGATAAAGATTTGGAGTCGGTTTCATTAATTATATATAACAATCGGAAGATCTGATAAGAATAAAATTACCACGGGCGATTGGAATCAGATTCTAGTCTAGTCCGGTCACCCTTAATCAGGGATGAGGCCAAAGGTGGAGATCAACCCGCGACCGCTGTGGCGGCGACCGCGTGGGCGGCCCGGGGATCTCGCCGCGCCCCCAGCCCGCCCCATTTCCTCAGGCGCTCTCTGGAGGCGGAGGAGGGTGAAAGCTCGCGGAGGTCTTGCATCAGACGAAAGGCGGTTCGCAGCCGCAGCTCCAGGAGGGCCTTCCCCAGATGCTTCCCCAGCAACCACGCGACTGGCTGGGACTCGCCAGCGCCCCCCAGCGAAGGCCGAACGCAACCGGGAGGGCCAGCACCTAGATGGGGAAGGCCAGTAGCTGGGCTCCACTCAGGGAGGCCACTTTGGCGCCCCTCCCCTCGATGCTCAGGTGAGAAGGAGTGGAACGGGGAGGTGGCGCCTGGCAGCCAGAGCCACTAGGCACTAAAGTGCAGGAGCCGCGCTGGCATCTCGCGGGCCGCCGGCAGGACCAGTTGGAGCAGCCTGCGCTTTGCAGTGCTCGCGGGAGGCAAGCCAACGCGAACACGCGGCTGCAAATTGGACGGATAGTTTGCACCCTACAGCTCATAGTTCCTCCCGCTTCTCCCTCTCCCCGCTAGTTGCCAATCTCAGGAGGCCGAGAATCTGATATGCGGGGTCAGGAAGGGGGCGCGCAGGCCTGGGCGCAGCCAGTCTATTTCAGCGAAGGATGCCCCAGAGACCTCGCTTTTCTCCGATTCACCTTACCTGCAGCTCGGCTATCAGCTCCTCTTTGCTCAGGTTCTGCTTCTCCACCACCATTAACCCTCCATCTTCCAGGATCTTCCTGCAGCAAGGGTCCAGACTGTCACTGATGAGCACTTTCCGCAGATTTGCGAAGGCCATTGTGGAGCAGGCCAAAGAATCCTACACTCTCGGTGGGCAGAAGCACTTAAGCCAAGAAGCTGCAGCTCGCACTGGCTGGCTCCTGTAACTGGGCAGGATTCTTGATCTCCCGCTCCCCCTTAATCTCCCCCTCCTCCTCCTACCGTCTCATTTTGATTGGACAGAAATGCTCAAACTTTCTGTGACTCCACCTCCTCAAGGTTCTGAGCCATCTATGTCTCCGCCCACTTTATTATTCTGCCTGTGATGAATTTCTCAAGCTCAGCGGAAGATTTTGCCTACACCTGGTGAACATTAAAAGCACGATTTTCGCTGACTAGCTGATTCATATCTGAAATACACATGGAAATACACATTCTCATGGAGAAATTTTTTATCTTAACTTCTTTCTTCCTAAAAACTCATTTATTAATTCCTTAACTATTATTATTACTTTTTTAAGGTGTAAAGTGCAAGGGGCTGTGTTAGACTTGTAGGGAGCTAAAACATCAAAAAGTTCCCTTCCTCTAGGGGGCCTAACACACAAGAGTACAAACACAGACATGGAAAGTTAAATAATTAAAAGACATCTAAAACTATTTCTGAGATATCACAAAGCTGTGATTAGTTCGAAATGAATGATACAATGAGAAATACTAGTTTAAAAGAGAAATACTAGTTTAAAAGAGAGCGAGGACCTGGTGCATTTAGACTAGCAAGACTTTCTGTTCAAGTTCTCTATTCTCCTCTTCCTCCCCTACTCCTCTGATTCTGAAAAAGAAAATTGAAGTCAGTCTGGCCTAATTTATATGTTGACCAAGGAGGCACTTAACCACCTCTAATTCCTTTATATTTAAACCCCATGGAAAGCAGCTGGTTTCAGTCAGCTTTTTCACTGCAGTGACTTAAAGGAAAAGTTTTATTTTGGACTCAGTTTCAGAGATTTCAGTCCATAGAAACCCAACTCCATTCCTTTAGGCTCCAGGTGAGACGAACAACGTGGTGGAAGAGTGTGGCAGAGGGAAGCAGCTCACATGATGATCAGTAAGTAGAGAGAGACTCAGCTCACCAGAAACAAAATATATACCCTAAAGGCACAGCCTCAATGCCCACCTCCTCCAGTCACACTCTACCTACCTTCAGTTACTACTCAATTAATCTCCATTAGGGGATAAATTCACTGATTGGATTAAGGCTCTCATAACCTAATAATTTCACTTCTGAATGTTCTTGCCTTGTCTCTTGCATGAGATTGGGGGATGCATCACATCCAAACCGTGACACATGTCCTTTCATGCCCTATTTGGATTATTTAGAGTCACCCAGGATCAAAATCAGAATCAAGGATGCTCATAATCAAATTGGAATTCAGCTTTATAAACATACCCACTCTGGCTAACCATTGTTAGCCAGAGTGGGTATGTTTATATGTTTAACCATTGAACATTGTGTGCCTTTGTTCTGAGCTAGCCACAGAATTCAAGTGCCAAGTCCTCCTGCAGAACTATCAATCCTATAAAGTAAGGAACTTTTATACTAATGATTTCTAGGTACAAATCAGATTTTAGGCACAACATTCTCATTGGAAAGAAGATCATTTGTCAACCCTGTTTACTTATTTGGATGATTTGGAGTTTCTGAATTCTAGCACCCATGAGTATTCCATTTCTCTGCCTCTCAAGGGGTTCCCATCATCTCCAGGAGTCTTGCAGATGAACAGTAGATGTATCCCAGGAAGTTAATGGAGGGACTTGGGAAGCACCAGTTGCCTTAAATTCCTGCTGGGCTCACCATCTTCTTCCTTTCAGTGTAGATTTAAACCCTGGTATTAATCCCACCCCTTAACACCAAATCGAGGCAACCTTGCTTGGAGACCTTTCTGCACTCCAGCATGGTGATTTCTCCTTGCTCTCAAAGCACTCCAATATACCAGTTTGTAATTTTTTTTTCTTTCAGTGCTGGAGATATTGAACACAGGGCCTCACATGCACTAAGCAAAAGCTCTACTACTATGCTACACCCAAACCCTGTTTATAATCCTTAAGCTATACTTTAAATGTTTCTTTCTGAGGGAAGAGGCTGTGACTATGCATTACCAATATCCCCAGTGTTAAGTCACCATACCTAGCACACAGTAGGTTCTCAATAAATTAAATTTTCAATGAAATCTCTTCCGAATGTCTACAATAAGAAAGCACTCTCAGCACAATTGGGGTGGAGATATAAAAACATGTCTCTGGTCTTTATGAGATGAGAGCCCAGAAAGAAACAAGACATAAAATGTTAGCATACATATTATACAAGGCTATGAGAGGTAACTTGAAAACAATTAATTGCATTGAAATTTAAAAGAGGGAGGAAGGAACATTTCTGACTAATTTGTGGTTGTGACTATTATACACTGTCCTTTTGACCTGGACATTAATTATTACCTGTTAACTATTTTCTTAATGAATTTAGAATTGTCTTTTACTGTGTGGCTTGAGTCTGTTTGTTTATTTATTTATTTTTCTTTTGAAACAGGGTCTCATTAAGTTGCTGAGGCTGGCCTCAAGCTTGTAATCCTCCCAAGTCTCTAGGATTATAGGTGTGTGCCACCACACCCAACTGGAGTCTTAAAGTCAGTGGGGCATGGAAAAGAGAGAAAATAAAGGTCAGATGATCAGGTATGGAAGCCCTCTGGGCTGTGAATTCAGGAAAGTTGATTTTTGAAATCCATTCAAGGAAGTCACTCTGAGCAACCCAAGGACACAAGGATATATAAAACAATCCGACTTCAAGCTTCTCGTGGCTAACTCCCTAATCCTGAGGGTTGCCCAGGAAGTAGCCAGGTAAAAAAGAAATGACACAAAGACTGGGAGATATGAGAAACTGCAAAACGCTCAGTTTCTCCACCATAGCTGTGGAGACCAGGAGATGAGGCTGCAGAGGACCTGGAGCTGTTCGTGAATAGCCTTTACCTGAAAAGGAGTTGAAATCTGGCTGTAAAGCTAGTGTAGGCCTGGAGTGGTGGTGCACATCTGTAGTCCCAGATCCTTGGGAGGCCTAGGCAGGAGTTTGAGGTCAACCATTTTTTTTTTTAAATGGGGCAACATAGTAATGCCCCATTTCAAAAAAAGATGCACATATTTTATGGCTTGCTGGGATCTTGATAGCATCTGAAGTTATTCTAATAATTTAAGTATACTTTAAGTACATAAATAGTGTTACATACGTAATGTACATAAATAGTAATATAAAGGCATTGAGTCTTTTTTTTTAGGTCTAAATCACAAAGCATTTTAGGTCTAAATCACAAAGGGTCTTACCTTTCATGTTACCATGTTTAAGGTTTTTTTTTTTTCTTTTAACTATATTTTTCCTTAATTTTTTTCTTTACCTAGAAATCAGTCGCATTCAGGAAAAATACTTGGCATACAGAGATTTCAGTTGAGTAGCTATAATGGTCAATGCCCCCAAACTAAGCCTCCTTTCCTAGTGTTCTGTATGATTTTAAACTTAACCTCAATTAAACTGAGTGCCTCAGTTTCCACAGCTGTTGATACAGTGACACTCACTAGTCAGGGCTTTTGATGATTAGCACTATGGAAATCCCGTGGGATTCCATTATGTGTGTTGAAGGGGCATGTGACTGGCTACACAACAGGTTAGTTGTCTTAAATTTGGTCTTTATGCTGGAGCTACAAAGCCCAGAGCATTATTTGAACCATGAACTGTTCACATATGTTTACGAGCTAGTATAATAGGTTAATAGGCGGAAAGAAGCTCTTTAACTGCAACTTAACTTGAGCATAATTTGAGATTAATGAGAATGAAGTGAAGTGAAAGTGAGCAATAAATTAAAAATCTTAGTTTCTCCAGTATCTGTGCATATCAGAAAATACCTTTCAAGAATAAAACTCAATTGTTTATTCTTCAAATATAAAGGAATAATATAGAAATACAGAATAATTTTTAGAAGTGATTTGATTAGATTTATGGGTTTAATTGAGCCCTGGTATTGTTAATATAGATAATATCTTCTACTGCTCCACTCCACAGTCTACAATATCAGAAGAAATTTGATTTGGGTGCAATGGTACATGCCTGTAATCCCAGTGGCTCAGGAGGTTGAGGCAGGAGGATTATCAATTCGAAGCTAGTCTCAAATTAGTGAGGCCTTAAGCAACTTATAGAGACCCTATCTCAAAAATAAAAAATAAAAGGGCTGGGGATATAGCTCAGTGGTAAAGAGCCTGTGGGTTCACTCTTCAGTACCAAAAAAAAAAAATTGGGGAGAGGGTGGGGAGTTAAGTGTACCTCTTTATAATTCAATGCTAGAGATTGGGAAATTTCTCCTTCTGTTACTGTCTCCACCCGTAAGACAGGAACTTTGGCCTCCATGGAAGTATTATGAAAATAAATAGTTCTGCCCTTTTCTCTAGACCCCTCATTCCCTCCCTCCCTCCCCTGGCCCCATTCCCTTAGGAAGAGAGACTCTTCTGATTAGTGAAGTTTGGGGAAAAGGTTCTAGTGCATACCCAGGCCAGCCCCTTCTTGGCTATCTGCTTTGGACCTGGAAGCCTACTGATAATGTGCACTTTCCTGCTTTCTTGTGTAGTGAACCCTTCAGATCAAGCCGTATCCCATGTCCCTGGGGTTTCAGGGGCTGCAGCTAGCCAGCTTCTCTGACGGCGGCTCTGAGGATAAGACCAACAGGGTTAGTGGGGGTGAGGACAGGAGCAGGAAACTCATTTTTCTACTTGGAATTCAGTTGTGATCTCCAGACTTACATTACAAAAAATAAAGCAGATATTTTGAGGGATAGAAAGTGTATGGAACGTCTGGATTTGAATTCTAATTTCTCAAATTACTATCAAACATGACTTTGGGTAAATTGCTTCTCTAAGAGTTTTCTTCTCTAAAATGAAATTAATAGTATGATAAAGTGAATTAATAATATGATAGTTGTTTATTTCATAAGGTTATTGTAAAGATTAGATAAAGTAAAGCATACAAAAGATTATATTTCTGAACGGGCAAGGTGGCACATGTCTGTAATCCCAGGGACTCAGGAGGCTGAGACAGGAGGATCTCACGTTTGAGGACAGGCTCAGCAACTTAAAAAGACACTGAACAGCTGGGCACGGTGGCTCACAGGGTCTTGTACGGTGGAGGCACATAAGGATTGCAAATCAAAGCCAGCCTCAGCTTAACAAGGCCTTAAGCAATTTAGCAAGACCCTGTTTCAAAAAATAAAAAGGGATGAGAATGTGGTTCAGTGGTTAAGCGACCCTGGGTTTGAGCCCTGGTACCTCCCACCCCCAGCCAAAAAAAGAAAAGGAAGAAAGAAAGAAAGGCCCTAAGCAACTTAGAACCTGTCTCAAATAAAAACAAACAAACAAACAAAAGGGCTATGGGTGTAGCTCAGTGGTGAAGTGCCCCTGAGTTAAATTTCCAGTGTGGGGGGGCACAATTAGAATCTGTACTGCTTGATTTTCACTCACTCATTCATTCAGTCAATCAATCAGTGTCTATTACTGACACCGTCTCATGAGCCAGGCACTCCTAAAGGTGCTGAAAATGAAATTCTGACTGAGAAAATCTCTGTTCTTAAGGAGCTTGTATTCTGATGGGACAAAAAAATAAAAATAAAAAAAAATAAGCAAAAAAAATGAACATGATAATCTCAGGACATGATAAATAAGAAGAAGAATATAAAACAGGACAATGTGCTAGATCCAGTGGAACCCACCCATAATCCTAGCAATTTGGGAGGCTGAGACCAGCTGGGGTAACTCAGCAAGACCCTGTCTCAAGCCTGATCACAACGCTATTCAGGCCTTGGTTTAGTTCAGTGTACAGTATGGTTTTTAGCATGTGTGAGGACCTAGGTTTGGTCCCCCACACCATAAAATATATATGTTTAATAAAATAGTTCAAAGAAAAAAAGGAATTTATTGACTCAGATGTCTGAGGAGATCAAGTGTGGACTGAAGTATCCTCTGGTGTCCCTGGTAATCTGTGTCACTATTTTCCTGGGGGGTTGATTCATTTCCATAAAGGCAAAATGAGGAAAGAATGTTGCACGTTAGCAACGAATATAAGAGTCAGCTGTATATACTAGCAGTTTAGCAATCCTAGAAGTTTGCATTAGATTTTTTTTCTTTCTTTCTTTTTCTTCTTTTTAATGGTACTGGGAATTGAACTCTGGGTCTCCTGCCTGCTAGGTAAGTGTGGTTAGTTTTAAGAAGGGGACTAGTATTATCCCCTTTCTTAAAAAGAGTTTCAGCCTGGGTGTAGTGGTGCATGCCTGTAATTCCAGCAACTCAGGAGGCTTAGGCCACAAATTCAAAGGCCAGATTCAACAACTGAGGGTGTCACTACACCCTCAGAACCTTAGAAAGATCTTGTCTCAAAATGAAAAATCCAAAGAACTAGGGATGTAGCTTATGTGTACAGTAGCTTAGTGGTAGAGGACCCTGGATTCAATCACAAGTACCAAGGGTTGGTGAAAAAAGGATGGCTCTATTAACATACACACACACAAAACTCCTCTTTACAGAGTTGTTTTTATTATCCTTATGGTGATGATGATGACAATAATGATAGCAATTAGCAGGGAGGTGGATTCTTCTGGTTGACATAGGAAGTGACTTAGTAATGAAAAGGCAACTGTGACAGAAAACCTAGAACCAATCAATGAATAATGAATGAACTACCTGAGAAAGTCATCACCCCGAGAGAAAGTGAATATCTGAAAAGAGAGTTTTGGGAAATACCAATTGAAATTAAGGTAAGACGAATACGAATACTGTTTCATCAAAATGCAACTGATTGTTAAAAAAGAAAAAAAGTGGGCTGGGTACGTAGCTCAGTGGTGAAGTACTGTCAAACATGTGTGGGGCCCTGGGTTCAATCCCCAGCACTCCAAAAAAAGAAAAAAAAATCCTGTAACATAATCAATCATATTATTTCTTTTCTGCAGAAAGAATTCATGAATAGAAAGAGCTTGTCTGCATGTTCAAAAAGATGAGCTAAGGTAGGTCTTGCTTTTACACAGTAATACTCCAAGAGAAAGAGGGGAAGACTGTACATGTGACAGGAATGATATGGGCATTAGTGAGGTTGTTTTGATATGGTACAGGGACAATTCATTACATTTTATCATAGTCCATATACAAACATCTCTTCTAATTGTATACCTGGATTTCTTTACCATTGTTCTGAGTAAGTAATTTATTCTCCAGATACCCTGATGCCTGTAAGAAGCTACCAAGTGGTCCTGTTTTCTATAGGTTGACAGCCCTGTCAATCATGCTCAGGCACCTCCATCAGGAAAATGAATAAGGAAAACAGGTATTTTATTTCATTGATTTACTTATTTTGGTGCTGGAGATTGAACACAGGAGCACCCAACCACTGAGCCACGACCCCAGCCCTAGTTTGTATTTTATTTAGAGACAGGGTTTCACTGAGTTGCTCAGTGCCTCACTTTTGCTGAGGCTGGTTTTGAACTCTAAATCTTCCTGCTTCAGCCTCCCGAGCTGCTGCGATTACAGGCATGTACCACCGCACCCGGTGGAACAAGTGTTTTAGTTACTAGACAATCCCTGGCATTCTGGTTTGCTCACTGATTTTTTTTGATTAATTAGGATCTTGATGGTCCCTGAAACTTTGATTAATAGTAGGGCTCTTATAAAATCACATGTTTTTCTTGGGAGCCTCCTCCCCCACCTCTTGAGTAGCTGGAATTACAGGTGTATGCCTCCAGGCCTGTTTATAGCTTCTTTAAGGGTCTAGTTAAATTTCTAATAGTGCTGTCTTTTGAGACTTCCAAAATGAAATCTAAGGTGCTCCAATTTATTTTATTGTTATTATTAGTTTATTTTTGCAGTACTGGAGACTGAACCCAGGAATGCCCTACCACTCAGCTACATCCCCAGCTCTTAACTTTCTTCCTTTCTTTTTTTTCAGGCCAGGATGGCCTTGAAGTTATGATCCTCCAGAGATGCTGGGATTACAGGAGTACACCACCATACTTGGTTTAAAATTATTTATTTATGTATGTGTGTATTTATTTATCTATCTATCTATCTGCCTATTTGGGTCTGGAGATTGAACCCAGGGCCTTGTGCAAGCTAAACAAATGTTCTGCCGCTGGGCTACAACCCTAACTATTAACAATCACATTTAAAATGTATTGACTAGAGGTTAGAGCCAGAGGTTTTTTGCTACCTTGCAAGTTTACTAATCAGAGAACTTCCCTCAGGTGTCTCAAGTCTTTAATTTCAACTACCTGTGTTTTGAAACTCTATAAGAACCTGAAAAGCTACAAGCTCTCTCACCTTCTAAGCTTGCACGTAATTTAAATGATTCATGCACCTCCTGATGCCAATTCATGACCCTTTTAGGATCCCATGAACCTTTTTATGAAAACCTGTATTTTACATGGATTAGGCATGGTGATAAAATACAAACTAGCTATAATAACAATACAAATATTTGCTAATCAATTTTAAGTGCTAGGTGAGTATAACTCAACAGATCTTTACAATAGTTCTATGGGATAAGTAGCATAATTGTTCTCATTTCATTGATGGTAAATCTGAGATGCATTGTTGTATTTATTCCTACTTTGTAATTTAGAGAAGTAAAATGATTTACTGAAGGTTATATGGCAATAAGTGGATGAATTTGAGTTCATAGCCCCTTTTGTTTCTTTCTCTTTCTCTGTGCTGGGGGTGTCAGGGGAGGGGATTGTAACCTGGGCCTTAGCACATGGTAAGCAAGTGCTCTGCCACTGAGCTACATCCCCAGCACTTTTTACCTTACCTTGAGACAGGATCTTGCTGAGGTTTCCAGGATGGCCTTGAACTGAAACAGCTCCTGAACGTTGTCCTGCTAAGAAAAAAATTACCCCCTTGCCTGCATGGTACCAAGAAAGCTGAAACTGGCATGTCCTCTGGCCCGCATAGCCTAAGTAAATCTACATATTTTTATTACCTGGCTTTTGTTTCTGGAAATTGTAACCACTTTTGTAGGATTAGCAGAGAAGTAATGTAGCTGCTTCTCCCCAGTTTGGCCAAACTGCATGAAATTCCTTTTCCCTTTTAATGTTGTTTACTTATTTCCAATGTGGATGGACAGCTAAATTTAACCAACTGGGATCCAAACAGGGTCCTTGACTTGACTGGAGTAACAGAATTTGTAATCCTCGTGCCTCCACTTCTTAAATAGCTGGGATTACATGTGTGTGCCTCCAGGCCTGGTTTATGGATTCTTTAAATGTCTAATTAAACTTCTAATGTGCTGTCTTTTGTACTTTTCAAAATGAAAGTGAAATTTAAGGTCCTCCAATTTATTTTCTTCTCATTTTTATTTTATCTATCTATCTATCTATCTATTTATTTTTGCAGTACTGGAGATTGAACCCAGGTGTGTGCTCTGTCCTATAGCCTCAGCTCTTTTTATTCTTTATTTATTTTGAGTGATGGGGAGATTGAACCTAGAGATGCTCTGCTACTGAGCTACACCCCTAGTTCTTTTTATTTTTTATTTTGAGACAGGGTCTCCCGAAATTTCGTAGGCTGGCCTTGAACTTGTAATCCTCCTGCCTCAGTCTCCTGAGTCTCTGGGATTATAGGCATGTGCCACCATGAGAAGTTTAAGGTCCTTCAATTCCTTAACTCATTATATTCAATTCAGAAACAATGCAAAAGGCTTGGGTGTTACAATAACTATTAGGGATGATAAAGGAATTTGGGGCTGCAGAGAAATAAAAACATATAAGTCTCAAAAGAAAAGCACCATAAACCATTGGGATACAGGAAATACCCATGAACCCTTGGAATGCAAAACAAGCAATTTCTAAGCAACCCAGCCTGCACCCTGGGGCCCCTTTAGGCCTGCAAAAAGTAACACCATAAGAGTGATTAATTTGTACAGCAGCAATAGGAAACTAATATACTTGGAAACCAGGAAAAATTAAAAGAACCAATTTCATCAAGGAGAGAGAGATTAAGTAGCAGTGAAATAAAAAGCAAGTTTAGATGATAGGTAGGCTAGAGGGAGCATTAATGGACCCCTTCCCTATTGCTTCTAATTAACCAGGAAATTTACTTTAAAAACACCAACAGGGCTGGGTTGTAGCTCAGTGGAAGAGCATATGCTAGAATAATCCTGGATTTGATCCTAGGCACCGGAAAAATAGCAATAACAAAAACCAGTAGTTCCCACTAACCCTGAAGGTGAGATAGGCTGAATGGGACCTAGAGAACTTGTCTCACCTCTGGTCCCCAATCCTCAAGCATCTGTTTCCTGCAGTGAGTGATTAAGGATATCTGGGGCCAGAGAGAAGGACACAGGAAGTGCTGTCCATCCCCCAAACAGTCCAAAGGGCTGGATTTTGAGTCTGTGGAATGTGGCACTGTAGGCAAAATCTGGAGGAGGTATTTAAGGGAGGTGACCCTAGGTCACAGGGAATGCCACTTTAGGACCCTTGGGTGGCAGAGGGAGAAAGGAGAGGGGATGCACTCATTCATTTCCCACTCCTCATTCAGTCTTTCCCCAAACCTGACATAACTGATACTGAGACAAGTTGGGGGTGGTACTGAGGTCCTTGCATTCATGGAGTTTACTTCTAGTGGAGGTAACAAGCATCAAGTAATCCCACAAATAAGGGAATAATTATAACCTAGCATAAGCAGACTGTAGAACTGGTTCTTTGAGAGTCTTTAACAAAAGAACTTAATTAAGACTTGTGGGGCGAGGAGGAAGGGGAGTAGGAAGGTTTCTTTGAGAGAGAGAAGCTCTATATGAAACCTCAAGATGGCATAGAGGTTAACTTGGCCCTTTGATCCTTTCAGGGGAAGAGAGAAAAAGAGGAAAGAATGTTCCAAGCAGAGGAAGCAGTGAGTGCAGATCCTTTGGTGTGGAGATGGGGAGTGAGCATGTTCATGAAACTTGAATCAGTCCAGAGATCAGGGCATGCTTAGAACATCATTCTAGAGCCCCCAGGCTGCATCATGGCAGAGATTATTGTACCATCACAAGAGCATCCATAGAACATCAGAAGAGAGGCTAATTCTCACAGCAAGTGGGTCAAGAACCAGCATCCATTCCCTCTCTGCCATGATGCTCTGCCTTACCACAGGCCCATAGCAATGAAGTCAGCTGACTCTGGACTGAAACTTCCAAAACCATGAACCAAAGTAAATCTTTCCTCCTTCTACATTGTTTTTCTCAGGCATTTGTCACAATGACAAAAAGCTAACACAACCAGCAAATTTAGATGTGCACCATTAAGGTCATGTGAGAACCTGGAAGTGCACCCAAATGAAAAGGGCTTCTGTGGTTTGAGGTGTGGTTCTCTGTCACATATTGATGATTCAGCCCGTGTCACAATGCCTAGAGAAGGCATAGTCCGATCACTTCATGCCACTGGGGTCTTGGGCTACAATGGATTGGAAGAGGACCCTGGCACTGCCACTTCCTTCATAATTGCTATATACATACAAAGTGGAATTTAAAACAAAAGAGCATCTCTAGGAAGACACAAGACAGAAAGTTTCTTCCCATTTTATTTACAGTCATTTCCCAAAATGAAGTTATCTGTGGAGAACAGAGTTACTTTCCTGCAAAAGCCTTAAAAATTAGCATTCCCCTCCCCAACCTACAAACCATGGCTCTAAAGATCAGGCTTCCTCAACAAATGTCAAGCCCAAAAGTCCATACTACCATGCTCAGCGTACAGTGGATTTCAGAGTACAAATGTACAGAACTGAGATGAATCTCATTTTACTCAATTTGCATTTACTACACTGGAGACATTCATCTTTCGTCTTTCCATGTTCTTCCAACTTTATTTAGACAGCAAAATCCTATCCATATTCCTAACCCTGGAATCACTGTTCTGTTTTTTCTTAGTTTATCTTCTCATACTTTTAGGCCCGGGTTGCCCTCTATTCAAGCCCTCCTGTCCTCCAAGAGGCAATATATCCTTTTCTACCTGGACTTCAGGTATCATTTTCTGACTTCTGATAGATACATTGCATTTTAGGGTGATCTGAAATAATTGCTTGAGCTCAGGTTTATACTCCTACCTGGAATATCCAAATCAAGGGACAAAGCACATATAATAATGGATTTCAAGACACTAATCATCAGGTAACAAAAGAGTGATCTCTGAGAGACAACACCAGATAGAACAAGGTACATGGAAGCAGTTTGCCAGCAATAGTGCCCAGTGAGTGCTGCCATTATTATTATTATTTTTGCATTTGTTTTGTGTCTGGCTCATAAGCAGCGTTTCCAATCCACTTGGATCATCAAAGAACTATTACAGATAAATCTGTCCATACCATGTAGTCAAGCAGGAAATTCAACTGTGAGAGCAGAAACGCTGGTCTGTGAACAGCTCTAGAACAGAATGCTGTGAATAGTCATGAGACTGGTGTAGAGCAAATGCAGAGAGCCACACGGAAAATTTGCAAATTGGAATGTTACCCAAACCCCGGAGGGTCAACAGGAGTCTACCAATCATTACCAGAGAGTGGAAAAACTGGCTTGTTGAAATTTGGGGATATTAATAATGCTCTGTTTCCCCAGTGATCCTTTCCCTTGGGGGAACTAGGAGAGCTTGGCAAGCAGCCTCATTACTCACAACCGTGCTTCTGCTGGGGTTGACAAGATTTGGAGGCATCGTTAAACACACCATCATACGGCAGCAGCAATCAAAGGTGTGGACAGTCTTCCCCAGGCCACCTTAAAAATAGGGTCCGTTTAATAGTTAAGAAATGTATATAGAGTCTCTGTATCCCTGGCTCATAGCAAATGCTCCATAAATTCTGGCCTCAGCTATTATAGCCCAGGGTCTGATTATAGTTAGTACACCATGATTTTCTATAGTGGAAGGGATTTAGAAATAGATCTATCATGTCCCTGGGTTAGGCTTTCTACAATTATATGTTCCTTTGAGGCTCCCACAGCAGATTCTGCTAGCTCATCATCAATCCTGTTCTTTTCCAGGGCACTCTGCCCTGCCTTTCCCAGGCTTCTTTGAAGTTGGACGCTGTCACATGACTGAATTCCAACCAACACACTGTAAGCAGAATTGATGAGAGCCGATTCTAGCTCTGAATCTTAAAATCTCCTTCACAGTTTCCATCTTCCATAATGATACAGTGAGATCCTATAGGACCAACTCTTTCAACTATTAAAGCTGGACACAGGACTGGGGATGTAGTTTAGTGGTAGAGTGCTCGCCTACCAAGCACAAGGACCCTAGTACTAAACAAAAAGCTGGACATAATACAAAAAAGCAGCAACTTAAATGTATTGGAAAACACTGGATAGTAAGGAGTATCCTCTTTGCTTGTATCCACAATATGTAAAAAATAAAAAATAAAGAACTCTTACAAATAAAATATGACAAACAACCACATTTTTAAAAATGGGCAAATGGTTTGAACAAGCACTTCATAACACACACACACACACACACATACATACACATATATAACCAATAAACACAAAAGAAGTTCACTAGTCACTGTGATCATGCAAGTGAAAAAGAAGAATTTACTATGTATCCACTAAAATGGCTAAATTTTTTGCATGATTATACAATTTTATTGAGAGTTTTCTAGGTGCCAAATATTTACTTTTTAAGGTCTTAAAGTATAAAGTCTTTTTTTGGGGGGGGCGGGTATTGGGGATTGAGTGCTTTAGCCACGAGATACATCCCCAGCTACTTCCCTTTTTTGTGACAGGGTCTCACTAAGTTGCCCAGGCTGGCCTTGAACTTGTGATCCTCCTGCTTCAGCCTCCCAAATTCAGAGATTACAGGTGTGCCACCATGCTCAGCATTACAAGGGCAATTCTTATCCATGTTTTACAGCTAAGGAAACTGGGACATAAATGTGACACAGCTGGTTCCATATTGGGTGTTTTTGTTAAGAACAGTGCAATAAGTAAATGATAATGATCAACACAAGGTATTTTAAATATTTCAGAGAAGAGATAGATAATCCAGCCCAGGAATGAAGGGGAAGATGAAATGATTCCTTAATTGGGTCACAGAGAACAGGCAGAGGAATTAGCCAGATAAACAAACAAGGAAAAAAATTCTAGGAATAGGGGAGGATGCAAATAACATAGGAATGGGAAACATTATGGATGTTCAGGAATCTGCAAGCATTTGGTATTTTTACAGTATACAGTATGATACAAGTTGTGGGGATTTTTAGGCAAGTTTCAGATTTAATTTTAAACATGTAGACATGTAA